GGCAACTGGAGTAAATGCCAGTTTTGGGGTGTGGATGCGAACCCATCTTGATATGCTGGGTATGGTCGCTTTACGAGATGGTGAATGACCACAATGAAGGCAGCTATGCCTCGAAGGCCATCAAGATAGTCGGTGTCCCTCTTCCTTGAAGTCTGAACTTTTTCGCCATCTGCTGTTGCTCCCCCAGTTTGTGTGATGAAGCTGGGAATGAGAAATCCTCCTAATTTTCGAAGTCGAGGGATCGTGAGAAGGTCGCTGCAGAGTGGAGTTTCAGGGGAGTTCGTGTACAGCTTGTCCCAGTAGGGAAGCCGTATCCGTATGGACGATGGCATGTCGAAGGAAAGAGGCAGAACAATGTACAAGAAGAGGTCGATAACTTGGAACGGATTCAAGTAGAGACAGACGAGAGAGAGGTGAGAAAGAAACAGATTCAACTGGAGTGCAGGGAACTGCGTGAGATCATCTTCTACAAAGAGAGCTCAAAGTCCATGGAAACGGAAGTGTCTGCTAAAGGCCCCTTGAACTAAATCGAGGTCTGACTCCCCGTTTCTCGGGAGCCTGTCAGGGGGTCGATAACAGGGAGCACCAACGCATCAATACCTTCCCGTCCCATGCACTGCGCATGGTCCACTAACAGAAAAGGAAATGGTAGGGCAACAAATTCATCCAAATCAAGCCAAGTCTGTATATCAGAACCAGAAGCAAGTCAAAAGTTCAAATGAATCCAACAGAGTTCTGATTGAATCCGCCACCCGATCCAACTCCCATTCTGTGCAAGCTCAATCTACACCTCACGTTTACAATAAGGAACCAGTAAGTAATCCGAACACTCTACAGATAGATGTTTTGATATCCTCAGGACCTCCAATCAATATCTGGTTCTCAAGGCACCTTATCCACTGGAAAAAATGGTGTTCGAGACATTCGGTGACATTCAGTGACATTAGAGAGTGACCAGTAACTCTGGTGGCTGCAGAACAGCCAACCGAGAGAGGAGACACTCAAGCTGGATAGGGGAGGACGCTCTCGTGCCTTAATCTCTGATCCTGAGGATCACACCAGCTCCAAATCCTGCCTACCTCCAGGAGAGAGCCTGATTCTGCAACGAAATTGTGGCATGATCCCGCCCCATGTATCTTCTGCGGCTGAGCGCCCCCGAGTACGCCACGCAGCTAAGCGAGGATGGCTGCTGAGAAAAACAAAGGTTGACACCAATCACGAACAGCAGTAAAATTAGGTGTTGCACCGTAACGAAATGCAATGCAGCAAACATGCAATACTTCGGGAGACAATACTGACGCGCAAAGAAAGCCGCAATCCCAATGCGGAGAATTTCCATCAATGCATCCCAATCGACTAACTAAGTTCGATGCCACAAAGACCAGCAGAAGAAGAGGAGTTGCAACAATAAAGGGCCATCCAAAGTTTGAAGATCCGAGGATTAATACTGTCTGAGACGAATTTTTTCTAGTAGGAGGGTCTACAAGGACGAAACCAGATGCTTCGTTAATTTCATAAACTTCGTGCCATGAAGATTGACTTAAACTTCCACAAATCACTCCTTTGTTTCTTCTTCAAGATTGCCACTCTTCTTTCAACGATGCTGATATAGTCATTAGTACTCATGAGAGCCAGCCGCTGTACAAGGACAGATCTTCGTTCTGATATTATACTTGCATAGGAGATGATTAGGCGGAGAACCGCCAGGAATTTTGAATGATATTCTTTGGAGGTACTTGCAACAATCGAAATCTTCTTGTGTAGCGATGAGGGCAGCAGATATGATAGACTGTGTAGAAATTCAACATCGAATCTAGCTTCGTAAAGATGGTGCGCGAAGAAGGTGGGGTCGACGTTGAAAGACGGGCTGACGACTTCAATGATCTATTTCTCTTGATTTCCGATGATTGCCATCTGACTTTGCGAACCAGATAATCGGAGGGAAGACATTGTATTTTCCCATTTGCTACCATCGAAGATGGATGTTTTGGTCACAAAGCCGCGATGCGTTGAAATCCAGGGCGGTCACCTGCTCGAAGTATCGGTCGTTCTTGGAGTGACAAAAAATGGCTAATATCTTCAGCCTTAGATAGCCCTTCCACGGACAGCTGACGTGTAATATGTACCTGGTACTCGTCTGGGGTATACTGTGGTGAGAAATGTCTGATGGTTGTGTGAGTGAGCTCTGCAAAAGTTGTCAGTTAGTTGATCAACACATGTGTTATCACAACGTGGGCTCACCGTATCCGACACTTCGACAGCGTGATTGGAGGAATACATGTGTTTTATTATGTATGCAGCAGACTCGAAGAGGGTGAATACGATGGCGATCAGCACGAATTATGTTAGTCAAAGTCAACGTTGCTTTGAGCAAGACACGGGAATATTGAGGCTGGTTCGCTAGAATGGGAAGCTCAGTCCATATTCCTCCTCCATCATTATAATAATCGAGCAAGAGGCGGTATCATCTGGTTCTGCTGCAGCTGCATCAGGCGAATGAGCACGCCTCAGCAGCAAACAATCATACCAAAGGCATTGAGCCCGACCGAAATACACAGCTTTTCCGTTTCTATCGGACTTTCCCTCCATGTTCTCATTACACTATATCAATAATATAGATTTCTGAGCCGTCTTCTTCCACCTGAAGACTGATGCAGTCTGCTTCCGATACCTGGATCGCAGGGTTCTCCAATGCTTCCTGCACGAAAGATAGTTGATAACCAAGAGTAAAGAATGTTCCAATTCTCTGGTACTGGCCTCTCTTCACTTCCGTAGCTTTCAAGATGAGGCCTGTGAATTGCGAGCGAGACTGCCCTGGTAGGAGACGCAAAAGGTAAAGCAAACCATCGCCCACTTCTGCACCACCTGCTACATCGAGTCTGGCGTTGAGTCTGACAGGAAGATCGGACGTCTCGGGTAGTTCTATTGTCTCGTGAGGTTTTGAAAAAGGTAGAGGGACAATTACTTTTATGATTAATTTGCATCTAAGGCGGAGCGTGGCAGCTGTGACTTGGCCGAAAGGGTCGTCGGTAGCGTACTCAATATCAACATCTTCCAGTTCGGTCCCATGACTCTCATCGTAATCTAAGGAAGGAAATTCAATATTTCCAGTGACCGATGCCCATGACCACTAAAAATGGAGAGTATTAGTACAATAAAAGAATATCTCAGTAGACTAGATCTGCCTAGCTGTCACCTACTGTTGGTGCGACATATGGCGTGATCCTTTGACCCTTTCCAGCCGCGACGTCCCAACGAAGTTGAGAGATGATTTCCCCTTTCCACAAACCCGCGACATATTTGTCTTTCAAAGTGTGTTGCACAATGCGAGCCACGCCAGAAATGGCGGCAAGTTTATCTCTCGCAAGAGTTAGGTTGCATGTTGAATACGCGTTGATGAATGTCGACCATCCTGAAAAAGAGTTGATCTGCTGGATCCCTAGATGGCTGATAGCGTCTTCGAAGCGGGATGGGATTCGATCTGGGAAAGTCTCGCATCTGACAATGCCTTCACACTCCCAGAACACCTCATTCCGTGTAAAATGTAAAATTCGCTTTGACAGGAGGCGCTCTTGTTGCACCCACGCCCTTCCGAATAATGGTTGTGCCAAGAGGTACTCTTCGAAGTCGTCAGGGATGCATTGATAATAGACCGTTCGAGCTAATGATTGACGACCATAGTACTCATTCTGAATTGTATGACCCCAAAACATGTGACGATCGAAGAAACAGCCATGACTACCATCCGGGGCGCTTGAAGCGGCGATGTTGATTGTTGAGCCACCATAAACGTCACTCATCAGTGGTGACTCTCGATGCCAGTCATCAATGTCGTCTTGGATGATACATAAGGAGTCAATCCAAAGATACTGCAGTCCAAGGTAGGAAGTGATGCGTATCGCATCCTGGAAGGTCTTTGTGAGAGCTTGAACGGGGACCTTCTCCTGAAATTTGGTAATGTTGCTTTTATTCAACGTAAGAAAAGACAAAGAACCCCAACAATGACTTAAAGTAGCGTACTCCGGGCACCCATCAAGTTCATGCGATAGGCGTAATCTTGTATGTCCATCATCGATGAACAAGAGTCGTGTGGGTGTTCGATGGCTTTGAGAGCTTTTGCAGCCTTCATGAAGCATTAAACACCGATTCAGCCATGTTTTGCACAGTGGTAAGCTGGATTCCGTGCTAGCCAACGCCAATGGTAGGGGTGTGTGGATTGTCGCTGTTCTCTTATGTCAGTCATTTGGTCTGAAATGGACGATGAGACTTACGAGAGAGGAAGGTAGGGAGCATGCTAATAATAGCATGCTTTCCGGGTCGAAGTATGCTTAAGATGATACGACTATCACCAAAATCATCGCCACGAGATGGTTTTGCACCGCGAGTTGTTTCTAGGATGGCTGTCACGGCTTGCAGACCTGTGGTGTCATCCCATTCGTCTCCATCTCTCTCACTCCGTGTAAGATGGATGCATAAAATGCACCCGGCGGTAGCTGAAGCTGCCAAAGCATGACTGGTAAGGTGATGTTTGAATGTCAATTTCTTGAGGTAGCCACCGCCTTCTGGACAATGGTTCATGATACCCTGACAATAGTTGCAGAGCTTCGGGAGGTTGCCTTTGACATCGCGGACAGCTTGGTTACCACTTTGCACTGGCATAGCTTAGGGAACTTCAGTGCTGGTGGGACTTTTCAAGGTTCTGAAAGAGCATAGCAAAAATGGCTTGAAAATCTGACAGCAAACTTGAGACCTCGGTTTGTGATGTCTCTAGAGGCAAGGAAGTCCCGAATCTCCCTCGATAATAACCTGGAAGTAGTTGTCCTCAGGAGGAGCAATTGAGAGACGACCCAGCGGCTCACCGCCACCATTCTGCCACCTCGCTTAGCCAACATCACCGTCAAACCCCTCAAAAATATCCGCAACCAAAAAAAGAGTCTTCATCATTCACAACAAAAGCAAAAATGGAAAGAAGCTCTCTTCGCAGAGAACCTCGGGAATTGAGCCCGAGGTGGGGCTCGAACCCACGACCTTGAGGTTGATCTCTTCTTAAGAGCCACACGCTCTACCGATTGAGCTACCCGGGCAGGGTAGGTGTTTGGATGTGCAAAATTTTCTTATTTAGATACTCAATAGAGACAACTTTTTGGTGGCTCGTGTGAGGGCGGAAAGCGGGGCTGCGAGGCTGAACCTCTTGGATTTTAAAAGCGATCATGGGAATATGAGATACAATGGAATTATTCCGGCCGTTTTTTAGTCAATAGCTGCCGTTCCACTCCACTCTAGGGTCACTTCCGTGTACCATGTCATGACTTATGCGTAGGATCAATTGGGACACTATATTTGCGAGATTTGGACTCTTAACATATCTATTCAGAATCACAGCTAGCTCATCCTAGATTTGAGTTAAAGCAAGGGGAGAGCATTAGGAGTGGAGAGCGCTTCTGAAGCATTCACGAAAGATCATTGCATACTGTTCTGTTCAGGACATTCCTCGGTCATATATTCAGTCGCATCATAAATATGATGACATGTACAATACAGAACTCATTACGCCATGCCATGCAATGCAACCAAAAATGCTCATGCTCGCTTCATAATTCCCAAATCAGACATCGCAAACCCAAAAGGTCCCCAGTACCTGTATTGTCTTATTCCTCAAAACGCCGAACAAATGCACCAATCCAATCCACACTCCAGAATCCCAGGCAACTCGCCAAGCCCGTCTAGAAAATGCCGCTCTAAATCTCAAAAAAGTAAAGAAGACAGAATGTCTGTCTGCAAATGTGTCTAAAGTCTATCACATGGCTGCGTAGAACATGCCTACTCCAACAGCGGCCATGGCACCGATGTTAATGGGCGCTGCTGTTCGTTGCGCCCATGCTTTCGAGGTCGATGTTCCTCCGAGACCAACCGAGGCCGTTCCTCCGGCCATGACTCCACTATCCACGCCGACCTTTGCATCGACTGGATCCGATACGTCTGTGGCACCTGGAACGGAGGCTGTTCCTGTTGTTATCTCAAGGACGTTCGAGGTCGTTGAGTTGAAGTTCGTCTGGGCTATTGATATCTCGTTGTTGGTGAGATCATACACAAGGTAAGCGGATCGGATAAATGTGTCGCCCATGACCGAAGTGCTAGTCCCGGCCGGGGCGATACCGAAGAGGCATGCCGGAGTTCCGTCCGAGAAGGTAAGCTGTCGACCACTCGCTGAAGTGACAACAATGACAAGCTCGTTCATGGGAACGGATATCGTTGGGCTAGAGAAGGTGAAGTTGAGTGTGGTCGTATTATCGGCAAGCGAACAAGGGACGTAAGCGGCGCCTTGGGAGGAATCGTATTGAGCATCAACTTGCTCATAGATTGCCTCAGTCATGGCATCTGGGAGGTAGGTAAGGGAGCTCCCAGAATCCAAGAGGACAGCCTGTGCTTGATTTTTCGCAATTACAGTGTTGCCAAAACTCACAGCCGTGAGTGTGATGAGAAATTCGGCGAAAAATCCTCCTTCGGCCTGGACTGGAAGTGTTTCCAGTGTACCCAAGTACTTCCCGGTGTCCACTCCACCGAACAAAATGCTGCCAGTATTCGCATCCAGATCGTTCAACCATAAGCTATACGCATTTGATTGAATGAGCCCATCTTCCACCATCTGCGAGGGTAAGTTCCTGTACGGTTCCTTTCCTGCTCTTCCAACTTGTACTTCATTGACCTCGTAACCGATTCCTAGAATTCCTTCACTCGACGAACTTGTGTAGCCGACACCGAACTGGAGCTTGTCCAAACTAGTTGACCCAATCGAGAACGTGTCTGTCACATAGTCTCCCGCTGCCCCCGACCCATCCACGTACGAAATATTGAAGTCGCTCGCAACATAGGAGTATGTCGAGGAGGAGTTGGCCGAATACGTCCCTGCAAATGCACACGGGCTTCCCTTCGTTTTACACCACGTCGATGATGCTGTGTTCACCCAGAGATCGCTACTACCTGTGTCGAGATGTAATCGGAAACTTTGTGCTGGTGTCCCGATAGTTGCATTCGCAAAGTACAATGTTTCCTTCAAGAGGTCAGCCCAACCCCCCCTCAACACCCAATGGTCTAACTAACCTCATTATCCAACGTTGCTTGAACAGTCTCCGCTCTCCTCCTTAACCTATCTCTCTTTACGGGATTCCGTATCGTATTTCTCTCGATTGGAAACTCGACAACTCTTGCTGGCCCTTCGTTCCTCCTCTGTAATTGAAGTGCTTCGGTACATGTTGATAACAAAGTCGCCGAGATGGCTAAGGTAGTGAAACTCTTCATGATTATCTATATCAAACAATAGTCCTGGAAGAGGTAGCCCTTCCTCCTGGAAATGGGCGTCCCTGGACTATATTGGGTCCCAAGATCCAGATGACGCGGTCAAGGGTGCACTAGAAGGTCTAGTGTCGGCTGTGGAAGCCAAATATTGAAAGATCTTTCGATACCAAACGGCAGCTAGTCTTCGCTCGTTCGTTGTGGGGGTGGGTATCGTTGAAAGGCGTAATGAATGACTTTGACTGACAGACGTAAAGACTGACGACACAGACGAAGTCGTTCGGAGACTTTTCTGTGTATGTAAAGGAAACGACGGGCAATCCTAGAATGAAGCTAGAGTGCAAGTTTCCATGTGAGAAATATTAATTGCGGGAGCTGACGTTGCCTTGGTGGACGGTTCCTGATCGACTTTCCTGGAGGGCGGTTTTGATGGAGGGGTGAGTTGTAGTTGGGAAACAACAGAACAGAGTCCAGATGAGAAGTAGCGAGATCGACTCATACAATGCAAAAGGGCTTGGATAATTAGAAATGCCAAGTAAATCCCAAGATCTGGGAACGAAAGGTTACTTGACGATGAAATAATTCCAAGCGTTTTCCCAGGTGCACTGCGACACAGAGTCTAGGAGGAGGGCTTTGTATTGTCTTGGCGGAGACCAGGGCTCGTGGACCCGCAAGTGACGCGGCCAAAGACGAACGCACGCTGGAGAGGAGAGGAAGAGACAGGAAGCGAGAGGAGCGCGACAGAAGCCACACTCGCGGCGAGCTCAGCGTACGTACTGGACTGCGAGGGACTCAAAGGAACGACATCAGCGGGCCTGGCCACGCATGGTCCGCCTTCCCTGCTACAGAAACTGTCCTGCACTGCACTGCACACTGCTGAGCCCAGGAGTCAAAACTCCTTGGGAGCGAGCCTTGAGGTCAACGCTGACCGAGGGGTGGTGCTATTTCCAGCTGGTGGAGCTAACCTTACTGAACTTTGATGCTTGCGAAAGGATGATCAGACACAGGAAACGCGGAGCAGCACGGGAACTGCGTCAACTGGGCTGAATCGACCCCAAGCGAGAGATGCGAAACGCGGCTGCAAGCCCGCCCCAGTCACTGTTCATCGGCACAGGCTGGTGATGAGACGTGAAAGAGGGCGACGAGTGTCTGGGCGAAACGGGGCTTTTCAAGTGAAGTCGCAATTCTGCCTGTCTCCTATTCGCCATCTGGATGTTTCGTGCCGGCTGGGCGCTAAGGGGTTACTGTATCTGGTGAAGTGTAAGGGAGAAAGAAAAGGTAGAGTAAACGAGATGGATAGGATGTGAGCAGTGCGGTTGGTTCGGACGTCCTTCTCCAAGACTTCTCCAAGGCGACCACCGCTCGGCAATGCTCACCAACGGCCTTGGTGGTCATGTGTAACCGTGACATCCGAGAATGAAGACGAAGATGAAGACGAGAGGTACAGTTGAAAGACGTGACCCGATCTGGTAGGGATTGTTGTTACGAAGATGCTGGTCAAGAGTCAAGAGATAAGACTCGAGAGCACCAAGACGGTGTTTTGTTCGGGATCTGTTTTGTGAAATCTGCGACTACTGCGAGGAAGAACTTGCCATCGCAGTGGCTGGAGCGTTTGAAGCTAAACCGCATCGATCTCTTCCGGATCTCATATCTGATCCCTGTCCGATCCTCCTACCAACTCTCGTGGCTGTGAGATGTCACGATTGTCAAACATGTCACCTCTTGTTGTGCTCCCAACTCTCTTCCCTTACATATGCTGATGTCCTTGTACGTTTCAAACACAAAAGCCACTTGAAATGATCCCTAGGTTCAATTCAATTCTCCGAAGGAGCCCACAAGTAGGTTAGTCGACGACGTTCAGAGACCCTTTGTATGATCTCGTCCCACGGCGTCACCACTGCCGCATCCCATCCGACTGCCGATACCCCGCTGTTGGTGACGAGATCTTGAGGGTTCGTTCTTGCAGTGAGGAGGTCTTTGTCACGAAGAGTGTGAGATGTCAACGGGCTGTCTGATGAAGGGTTGTTGTCATTGAGCCGATTACCATCTGATGTTGAACATTCAAAGTGCAGCAGACTTCAGCCTGAGATTTCGTTGGTTTGTTCGTCTCCAGTTCAAGACTTGCTTGTCGGGGTATTCCCAGGATCTGGGAGGGATGTGTATTGCCAAGCTTTGTTCTGTAGTTTCAGAGTGGGCAGGCATTCCCCCTCACACAAGTGACTTTGAGATTCGCGTGCTGCTCTAAGCATCACTTTTTCGGGCTTCTGGCCTGGCTACCTTTGCTTTAAGGCGTTCTGATTTTCTCTTTATGTCTCCAAGGTCTTGCGCAGCAAAACTTAGACACGGAATTTTCCATCGGTCAACCGCAATTTATTCACCATTTCCGAGAACTGTGTTCAATGACTGTGCTACTCAAGATATTGAGGCTTAAGTCGGCATTCATATACATCTGTGTTAACAGAGCTTGTAGACAAATGTTCCCCATGTAATACTAATTTGTACAGCGTTTCCGACTTTGTATTTATTGTCTCTGTTGCTCAAGACCTCGAGGCTCAAGTAGGCAACTCAATCGGAGTATATCTCCTGTTCTTAATGAGACTCGCTTCTTTCTCATGCCTCGTTGGCATATCTCCTACCACCTCATGCAGTTGATTCCCATCTTTTTCCAACCTGGGAAGAACCACATCCCCATCCTTCTCATGAAGACCACCAGTCTGCATCTCGGTAGTCCGGTATGTTCGGCGCCACCAGCTATGTGAAGGTGTCCTTTTTGGTGTTGTACTGTCATGAT